AGAACAATTAATATGTTCTCTTTCCAAACCTTGAAGTTTGTCCCATTTAGCATGGGAATTGAGTTGATGTTAGCAGAAATTGTTGCAGCAGATGCATTAGCTGAAATAAAACAAAAATGCTCACATCAATAACCATAATCAATAAAATTCAAATAATGACAATCCCCATCCAAGATACCGGCACAACATTAATATCAAGTCTTTGGACAGTAATATTAACTTGTAAGTGATACCTTGTTGCAATGATCAAACATTGACAATAACTCATGTCAAATAATGAAACTATCTTTGGATCGATTCATTATTCACATGTAAACCTTATAATTGTCACACGCTTATCATCGCAGATGTGTATACAGTCTAAATAAATATTAACCTTCCTTTGGGCCGATTAAATATTTACACGAAAGCATACACACAAACATCTCACATTCCTCATGAACAATCTACACAAGAGAGGTTACTTTGGCAACTTCTTGTTTTAATTAATCAATTGGAGTGAGAGACAACCTTAATACCTTAGTGTCATAATATTTGAATTAAATAATTGATTAAAAACAAAATTAGATTTAAATTAAAAAGTTTTAATTTAAATCAACTGAATTTCCAAAAAACTTAATTGGGGTCTCACGGCTTAATTATGGCCCATAACTTAATTGAATAATTAAGTATACCAAAGTGGACCCATGAAAAAGCTGAGGCTTAACCATAGTGAACACGAAGTTCGCTTGACTTCGAACGCGAGGTTCGACTGTATTGAGTACGAGACTCACTTAAGCACAAACGCGAGGTTCGTCTGACGCGAGGTTCGACTGTATTGAGTACGAGACTCACTTAAGCACAAACGCGAGGTTCGTCTGAGAACGAACGCGAGGTTCGTCTGAAAAATGAACGCGAGGTTCAACTTGAGAACGAACGCGAGGTTCGTTAAAAAAATGAATGCAATGTTCAGCTTAAGTACGAACGCGAGTTTTGACTGAAGGACGAACGCGAGGTTCGACTGAAACACGGACGCGAGGTTCGACTGAAGCACGAACGCGAGGTTCGACTGAAGCACGAACGCGAGGTTCGACTTAGAACTGAGCGCGAGGCTCACATTAGAACGAACGCGAAGTTCGTTGAGCACGAGGCTCACTTGAGAACGAACGCGAAGTTTGGTTAAAATTGAACGAACGTGAGGTTCGTTTGAAGCTTACCGCTTCGCCAAAATTTGAGGTAATCACCTCCTTAATGTTCGTCACGTTTTCACGCACGAACCCTTAGGGTTTCAAACTGAAACCGCCGCCATTAAATCAAAAAACAGATCTAGAATCGAAAAATGAGTTTTCTTGATCCAGATCCAAGAAAGAAAAAACCGCCGAAAAAGCCAAAAAATTCCAAAATGTCACTGTTCACCGACTATTTTTCAATCACTGTTCATCAAAAAAATTTACTGTTCATCAAAAAAAAATCGTTACTGTTCATCAGAACAAAAAACTTTACTGTTCATCCGAAAAAATTTCGTTACTGTTCATCCGAAAAACAAAACTGAATCTTTAACCAGAGATTTAAGATAAAAAAACCCAATAAAACTTAAATCCCTAAGAATTAATCAAGGTGACTCTGATACCACTTGTTAGATCTAAACCAAAACTTAAGATCTAAAACCATATAGCCATGATTAATTCAAAGAGATTAACAATAATCAAAAGAGTGCGGAAGATTATACCTGAATCCATAGAAGAAATCTTGATTTGGGTTTCAATGATCTTCTAACCTTAGGGTTTCTCTAAATCCGAATTTCTCTCTCTAGATGGGGGTGAAGAGAATTAGAGAGTGTAACCCTAGGTTAGGAACCATAACCCCTTATTTATAGATGGGGGTGAAGAGAATTAGAGAGTGTAACCCTAGGTTAGGAACCATAACCCCTTATTTATAGATGTTGTACATTTGTAATTTGGCCCCTCAACAAATTACAATTACAACTTGGTATCTGCACATATAACCCCATGATTATATTTAAATACTCATTAACCCAACTTAATTGATCACTTTAGTGGGTTATCCTGAAAGATAGCAATACACATTGATTAATCATATGTGCCCACAAATAGATTTATTAGATTAAATCCAACAATTATTACTTTGGAATAGTGTTGGAGAAAACATGATGCCTTAAAATTAAATGACTACGTTTGAGAATCTAGATTGAGAAGTATATCAACAATACAAAACTACGTGATATATTCAGCTTATTTTGGAAGCCGAAAGTGAAAGTTCTGCATCATAGAGTCTAACAAAAGCAAGTATTTGGTTGGCGTCTTCTGAGATTCTAAAGTTTCAGGATACAAAGAAATTTTTAACCTCCATAAAGTCATCATTAAGTATAAAGTATAAACGGTTATATTTGACAAATTTTGTTTTTTCTTTATACTTTTCTGAACTTATCTTTGTTCACCTGTTAGGACCGTGTCCGTACAATTAATTTTGTTTGATGAATAACAAACTTTCATATTGGTATAATATATGTTTGAGATGTTTATATATGATGCAAGAAAATAAGTTAATCATAGTTAATTCTCGAAAAATATCAGAGGCTAAAATCATGTTTGAGTATATGGGAGTGTCCATCTCTTTTTGCTACCAAACTACAGAAATTAATGAAACTCAATTTGGAGACATATAGCTCGAGATATGAATTATGAATGTTTTAGCGAGACAACGTTGAAACATTCGATAGCAGGCTGGAAACATATACTGGCTGAAATTTGTACGAGCCATAACTTTTGACTCGTTTATCAGAATCGCTATTATAATAACTTTTCAGAATGCTCTCGACCTAATCTATTAACCATCAATGACTGAAGAGATCATCAATGATGCAAAAGAGAGGTTCATATTATGATGGTGACTACTTAATCATTGATGGTGACGACTTGACCATCGATGGTTAAGTCCGATCATTGATGGTTGATCGCCAGATTTGTGATTCTCCTATATGTTTTGGACTCAATCTTAGCCTTTCAAATCTAGGGCATATAGACTTTTTTCTCATGTTTTTCAAATATTTTTCTAACCTTCTTCCAGATCTAAGCTTCAATCATTAGTAGAACAGTTTGCATAATCAAAGTCTTGTAAGATCTTTTTAGTTGCACTTAACTATTATTTATTTCATTGGTTTAAACTTACTTTCATGACGTACTCAAGCTAGAGTGAGTTGAGGGTTTACGGCACACTCAAGCCTGGTTGAATTGAGGAATTGGTCACCAGCTAGGGGTAGGGGTACTCGTGTGCGAAGAGTTTAGGTAAGACGACTAGGATTTTGTTCTTGTAAGCCTACTGAATCAGGTTTGTGATTCAGGAGAACCTTTACATAGTAAGGAGCCCCTTTGCGAGAAGGAAGAGTGGATATATGATTATTTATCAGAGATATGCATTATTTACTATTTTTCTTGTTATTGTTTTTATTTTGCTGCATATAATGTGATGTATTGAAAAATAGTAGGTAATCCTATTCAACCCCCCTTCGGCTTGCATCTCAGATCCAACATTATCTACGCAACAACTATCATGAAAGAAAAAGTAAAAGGATGATATTGATCCATTGTAAAATCGTTATGGTTTCTTTCGGTGACAGGTAAGTAAAGGGCTAAGAGAACTTAACCCCTCCTTCGTCTTTTGGTGACATGTAAATAAATGGTTAAGAAGACTTAACCCCCCTTTACCCTACAAAATACAAAAATCAATACAATAGTTAAATTAAGTTAACTCTCTATAATTTGTCAAATATATTAAATAAATAATAATAATAATAATAATAAAATTAAAGATAATCCCTTTAGAGGAGTTAAAATAAGTTAATCTCTCAATGTGAGGGGTTTAGTAATACTCCGATTTAGACGCATTAAGAGACCTCCATTTATAAAGAAAATAGAACACTAAAAATAATCATGAGAGTTAAAAGTAAATCTTACTTTAACAAATTATTTTAACCTAACACTTCTCCTTAATCCTTCTTCTTTAAAATAAATCTTATTTTAACAAATTATTTTAACCTAACTCTTCTCCTTAATCCTTCTTCTTTAACCCTTTGGGTAAATGTAGCCATGGAATTTTTTTTCCATATTAGTCCCAAAACCTTCATAGCTTCAAGTTAGTCTCCCAAGTCTTCATATTTTGAATTAATCCCCCAAATCTACATATTTTGATATTTGTTGCCAATATCTTTTAAGTGTTTTGAAATTAATCCCCACTAGGGGACTAATTTTAAGATATAAAGATCCGGGCCATCAATTTCGAAACAAATAAAGATTTGGGGATCGATATCTAGAACCCAATAATTATGTAGTTGGTGAGCTCTACATGTTAATTATCTAGAACCATCTTAGGAGTGTTTTCTCTAATTTACTAACTTCACCGTGTTTGTGAAATATGCTCTTTACTAAATAATATTTTAATATTTTCTAGGCGTATATTGCAAAATGATTAACTTGCACTAAAATACCACAAACTTTTTTCGATCTGTCGCTTATTTATCATAAGTTGCATTTTGTGCAAAAAAACACCATAAATTATTTTAGAAATCGGCACGTTAGTACACTTAATCATACAAAAGTAAAAATTATCACATGAATATTCTCATATGAATCCGGCATGTTGATTTTATAACTTTCTAGTTATTAATATTTATTAAATTTATTATTAGGCATATTCAAACTCAATTTTAATGTAAAATTAAGAGAAGTTTGAAAAACAATTTGGTTGATTTATTAATAAATTTAACAAATATTAATAGTTTAAAAGCTCTAAAATTAGTATGTAAGTATTATAGAGAAACATTTAGGTGATAATTTTCAGGTTTATAAGTGATCTATAGAATTAACGTGCCATTTTTTTAGCAACCTATGATATTTTTCTGTTATAAAATACAACGTATAGTATAAAAGGAAAACTTTGTGGTATTTAGCTGCAATGTTGCCTTTGCAAAATACCCCCTCCTCTCCTCACTACGGAATATTCTCCTCCATCAATTCAATACTCAACCGATACAGAAAAAAATCCTCACAGCGACGATTAAAAAACTCTCAAAAGCCAAGCTCTCCACTGTTTCCCCTCGATTTCCTTCAAATCCCTGTTGAATTCAATCTGACACCAAATTTTGATTCGCCAAAATCTCGTTTTGGAGCCCAAATTCTTCTCCTTTCTCCTTTTCCCATTATCAATTCCTCATCTTTCTCGTTTCTCGATCCTAGGGTTTAGGGTTTATCACCTAGGGTTTGTTGTCGCCGATTCCCAAATTTCTCAGTGTTTTAACAGGTTTTCTACTAGAGCCTCTGCCAATTTAGGTTTCACTGTTAAAAATTTCATCTTTCTGCAGATTTTTCTGGAAAATTTTAGGTTTAGGGTTTTACGGCTGAGTTCATGTTTTACCAAATTTCTCATTGTTTTAGGGTTTTACTGATTTGAGGTTTTCCTGTCAAAAGATTTATCTTGAAAAATTTAGGGTCAGTATGGCTCCAGCTCAACCTCTGGCTACTGGCGATGAAGAAGCCAAGCTCAAAATGGTGGTCAAATCCGAGGAGGTCAATGGGGATTCCAATGAGAAGTTAGTATGTGAGAGTAATTTCGAGGACAGTGGATTCTATGGGGATTCTTTAGCCGTGAGAGATAAGTCAGAAGCCAGCGGTTTGGATCAAGAAGTGGATGTCGTTGGAGTTGGAGAAGAAGGTGGTGGAGTAATGGGTTTGGATAAGAATGGGGATCCGGACCCAGATGCGACAGAGCAGTCGAGTTCTTTTGGGAACACGTTTTCGGGGTCAGAGGATGAGGCAAGGATGAGTTCCAGCGATATGGAGGTGGACTCACAGTTCATGCACACTCCAACGTCCCAGTTTGCACACACACAGTTTATGGGCGCAGATAATAGGGAGCCATCGGTTTTGGATGGATTTGGTAGAATTCGCAAGTATGTTGTTAATTTGCGCGTCAAATATTAGCAATACCATGTGGTTCCTAATTTTTTTATCATTAAAACATGTGTTCAATCTTTAATTGATTTTTTGATCCTATTTTGACTACATATATGCTTGAAATAGGATGAGAATGGATTAACTAATTGCTATGCCATGACCTTCAAGTTTGGCTTAGATATTGGAGTTTGACAAAGAACCCTTAACATGGGGGAAGTTGGGAAGAAATGGGGTGAAAATGATATGTAGATTCAAATGATATTTTAGGATAGCTCATCTCAATGTAATTTATACACTTCCTAAACATAGAAAAAACATACTTAGGCATAAAGCACAAAGCTAACGAATAATATTATAAAGTAGGGGATAACATTGTTTTAAATTTCCCTGATATAGCCTGATATATTGGCCAATGTATTCTTTCATGAAGCTTGATGCAAAACAGTATGATCTTAATATCCTTTACCACTTTTTGGCAATTTTTGGCCGATACATCCCCGTCATGGCAGATTTATCAACCCATATGTTGGCCAATATATATCCCCGACACGGCCAATATATTAACCGATGTGTTGGCCGATATATCAATTTATATAGCTTGTTGCAAAATAGTATAGTTCTGCAAAATTTCTTTAATGTTTTTAGCCAAACTTCCATCTATGAAGCCTTTTAGCAAATTCTAGTATGCTGCTTTCCCTCAGTAACTTTATGCAATTGGTTTGTGACTCTAAATGTATATTATTTACATTTTTGTATGCTTAGATTTCATTAAGTATGTTTGTATTACATTTTAGGACATTATATTATATATGCACATCATTGATATGGCACTCAGAGATTTACTACCTATCCCTGATATCCACAATCTGTTATGGATTTTCACTGTCCGATATTTTCTCGATATCCGATATTTAAAACCTTGGGAGATAGAGAAGATGTTATGATTCTTATGAAGCATCTGATGATTTAATTTCATGCTAGCACTTGAGATTTCAAGTTTGTAGCGCACACTTTGTTTCAACCAATAATTTGCCGATCGTCAAAGATAATATCTAGTTTTTAAACTTCGCTGATCTGTTTTATTAGTTTCAGCCTTACAGGACCTTATGGTACTGGAAAGGAATATTGACGAAATTCTAATTGTTTTCATGTTGGCGTTCTATGTTAGGGATTGTTTAGCATTGCCTGGATATCATGTCACTTCAGCACTTTGGGAATTCTTGTTGACCCCTTCCGTAGTTGACTATGTTTGCCGGACTTTAGTCACTTGTCATCCTTCATTCATCTATAAAGCGTCTTCCATTGTCTAGGAGAATAGTGAAGTATGTTTGTTGGTTGCATGCTATGTTGCATGGATATGTGAAAATGGGTCAATAAACATATCAAATATCTGTCTGTGACATAGATACACATGAAATCGTGTTCCAAAAGTAATCTGCCATAGCAGGGAAGAAACCCTAGCCCCAAATAGAAAATATGAATAAAAAGGAAAGATAAGGAGGAATAACGAGAGAAGAATAGGAGAAAACTCATCAGTCATCATTAGGTCAATTTTCGTAACAGGCAACTGGCCTAATATGTACATTTTGGTAAAGCTCACCAACTTGGTTGACATCAACTTGTAGCTGGCTGTAGGAGAATTTCCGTAAACTTCTGAGTCTTTGCAAAATGAGTTGTGCTCCACAGGCAACCCCATTTTCATGTTAAAAGCTTATATATACACTAGGTATCATGTCGGGTTTGTTGAGACTTACGGATACTGATGGTGTATGGAGTTTGTTGTGATTTGTGGGTACTGGAGGCGTATGGACTTTGCCATTTGTACCTGGTGCTAATTTTGCATCTCATGATGAACCGATGTTGCCTCTATTTTTTTAATGTTTTAATTTATTATTATTATTATATTTTTTGTGTACCCCCTCTCACATAAACATGCATGTACTTTTACATAAAATGGCTGCAGTATATGTGTTGTCTTGAAACCTTTTGTTCTTGTTCACTATAATAGAAAGTGACATTGTATTTTTCCAGTTTGTTAACTTTTAACCACTTAATACTCTTCTGATTGAACTTTGTTGTTTCTACTTATGTAAAAAAGCTTGATGAAGCACCAATTTTTTATAAATTTGTTCGTGAACTTCGTGCCTAGTTGATCCAAGAAACATTATCGTCTTGTACATGGGAACTTCCTGCTTATTAGTCTGCATCTCTCTGTTTGCAATGCAAATTTTTACCGACTGATTCCCTTGCACTTTATGTACTCTAATTATTCTTCTGCTCAATTTCAGGAAGAAAAAAGTTACTGCTCACTGGAGAAGGTTTATCAGCCCTCTAATGTGGAGATGTCAGTGGTTAGAACTGCGAATGAATGAACTCCACTCACAAGTTTTATTATATGACAAGGAACTTGCAGCATATAAGCGTGAAAAACAGCTGCAATCGAAAATGATAGAATTAGATGGTTCTGTTTCTAGATTGGTACCTCTCTCTTGTAAAAGGCACAGTAAAAGAGCCATGAAGAGAATGAAAAGAAAAAGGATTGAAGATACAGCTGATATACCATCATACATGTCGAACCATAGCATTTTCTCTTATTATGGTACCAACAATATTCATATTCAGGTTCTGGTCTTTTAGCTGAGTAAAAACTATTTTGACATGCTTTCTCAATCTCCTGCAGAAAATAAGAGAGCTGAAACTGATTGCCAGTCAGTGGATAATGATTGTGGCCATCGAGGTATGGCTGTTTCCTTTTGTAGTCTAGTCAAATAATGAGTTTCGTTGGCTTTAATCCTATTCAATCTTTTTAAATTTAGTACTATTTTGTACCGTATTATGTTGGACATAATGCTAAAGGGAACAAAAAAGGGAATTTAGCTATGCACAATTATCTGGACTTTTTCTTTTAATGCTGAAGTTCCAGATAATTGTGCATAGCTAAATTCCCTTTTTTAATGCTAAAGAATGAATGCTGAAGTTCGTCTAACAATGTATCAGAGAAAGATATCAAGCATGTGGATCTGCTAACCTTCTTGTCTATCTGACGGCATATTAAGCTATTTCCCTATCATGTTTTTGGCCATACATCACAGCTAATACTGTAAGCTAGATTGTTATTTATTTCTTTGATAGTATGAACCATAATGTTTAACTATGTATATTTACATAAGACAAACCTGTGATTTCCTGTCAAATGACAAAACATCTGTTGACCTGCTGTGAAGATGGCCATCATGAAATCCACTTGTTCAAGGCTTTGTGTGTAAACGTTTATGGATTTTTTTCTCTTCCATAGAAGCTTCTGTTGATAATTTCGTTACCTCTTATACGGATAAAGTTTCAATACGAGAAGATTTATGGGATTAAACAAATAAACTGGTTAGAAATATTCTCGATGACGATAAATGAACTGAATATCATGTGATATGTTCTTTAGTGGCTTCGTCTAACTCTACATAAATTAAGATAAATCTGAGTCCAAACATTTCTCTTAGTTTCCGCTTTGAAGCCAGGCATTGGAGGCCAATAGACAAAAGTGAGGACAGGTTAAATATCAGTTTTGACTCTTGTAGAAAGAATATTGAGGTACTCACCTGAGCTATGAGATGCTGTAGTCTAGAATCACGGACACATCAAATTACAGCACGATGCCCATATTTTTCTGAGCAATAAGTAATAACTAAGTTAATGATCCTCTATGAATATCACAAATAATATTTATAAGGATGAACTGGGAGGGGTTTTTAACAAAATGTTAACCTGCAACTTATCCAATGCCTTGAAAGTTTGGAAGAAGAAAAGCAGAAAACAATATTACTAATATCAGTATTGAGAAACATGAAACACATTGGTATGATGTTCCTTTGAGAATATATCATGTTGCTTTGCCATCATATAGGATTGGGGAACTGCTCCTTTGCTTGCGTGAAGTTATGAACTTTTTTATTACTACTGATAAACTCCTTGGCTGCAAAGCCAACTTAATGAACCTCAGGACAGCCGCTTCTGAAATTTATTAACTCTTCAATGGGTATAATCTTGATGCTGTTTTCAGTACCTTTAATCCCATTTGATTAAAAGAACCATAATTATACGCTGTTGTTTATGACAAATTTGTTAAAGTAAACCATCGCATAATCTCTACAGATTTATCATGGTTATAATTTAGTTGATATGACTACCTGCTATGACCAGGCAATGAGAGAATTTCCTAGCTATTAATGTCCTTGATCTTTTCTTCCCTTGTTATCAATTCGAAGCAGGCGATGAGGCTGCAAAACGCAATGAAGATTATGAATGGCTTTTACTAGGCCTCAATGATGGTGACGACTCTTTAGAGAAAGTACTTCACAATCTTGACAATATCCAGTCTAAGGTTCTTAGTCTTAAGACTGAACTCAGCAAGGTAATGAGCAGAAACTCCAGGGAAATCTACCCCAGAGCTAGAAGCCTTAGTTGCTCTCCCGTCAACAATGGAGATACCATGCCACAAAACAATATATCTGACTGTGAGTTGGAATTGCCCGAAAGTGTAGTTTCCAGTTATGGTGATGCTGCAGATGTTGATATGATTCAATGCACTGTGGGCTTATTGTCAGCTGATACTTCGCTACGTCACCATCCAATGAGAAATTTGTACAAAGACGTAAGATTTCTCTGCATATTTGTTCGAACTTTCATTTCTGGCAAGATGTGTTTTCCGCAAATAATTCAATTATTTTCAGTGTTCTCATTGTTGGCCTCTTTAGGGCGCTTCCAATTCCCCCCCTCTGATTAGCTTATGAAATCAATATATTGGACTAAATTTTGATATGATCATCACTATGTAACAATTGCCAGTGAAGGCTGATACTGCTGTTTACTGCTTGCATCTGCAGATTTGATGGATGTTTTCCTGATAAGACATTCGGGCGGCCCTGGAGAAGAGCGTAAGAATTTTCGTGAAGCCTAAATCATGGGGAAGTGGAACTCGAACAAGTGAAGGAAGAAGCACAGTCTTGTTCTGAGGATGCAAACCCTAGCCCTACAACTTCAACAGCAGCAGGAGGTTCAGGAGTAGAAAATGGTCAGGCACCGGTCCTGAAACCCTGCTACACCGGCAAAAAAAGAGGCCGGAAACCAAAGAAGAAGCGACGGGGTGGGATTCAGAAACGCCGACTTAATTGATGAAAACAGGTAATTTACTCAAAATATTTATAATTATTATGTTTATGAACTATGGTCCTGATGAGAAAAAAGAAAAAATTAATAAATAAAAAAGAAGGATGATTTGTGGTCTAAACTCATTTTTCTGTTTTCCGCCCCAGCTTTATTTCTCCTTTCCATGGAGTGCTTGTAGTTTGATTATAAATCTGTATTAAGTTTTAAATTAATAGAAATACTAGCATGTTTGAGATCTCTCTTGTCTAGATTTTGCTTGAGAAGTGCATTGTTCTTTTGATAGATGCATAGAAACTTGGCTTGTCTGATGTATAGTGTTTCTAAAAGAAGGCAGAACAAATTGATTCTCAACTAAAAACTTGCACAAAATAAGCTTAGTCCTGCAAAGCACGTGCCATGTGAAGCCTCATTATAAGGGCATCTCCAACCATACCCTCCAAATTTCACCCTCCAAATTGGAATATTCTAGGAATATTCCAATTTGGAGGGTGGAATTTAGAGGGTTGCTCCAACCCACACTCTCCAAATGTTTTTCTTTTTATTTTTTTAATCAAAAAAACCATATAAATTAAATAATATTGGATATAGTTTAGTTAATAATTTTATTGGAAAAAAAAATTATAACATTATAAAGGTGTCGATGAGAGCTTTAAAATGAACCCAATATTAATATTGCAATACAACATATTAAAAAAGAAGATCTCAACATATTAAAGAAAATTATAACATTATAAAGGTGTCGATAAGAGCTTTAAAATAGAACCATATACTTAAAATTTCATGTCTGATACTTATTTATTTAATTTAAAAATTAATAATTTTATAATAATACTAAAATAAATTAATTTTAGTTTCATTTTAAAGATCTCAACGAGCCCTTTTTAAAAATATAATAATTTCAAATATTAGATTAATAATTTTTTAACTATATTTATTTGAAATTAAACATCTAATTTAAATTACTAAGAAGGATGGTAAAGTGGTAATTTTTAAGAAATCGAATAGTTAAAAATGGTAAAATTGTAATTAATAAACCATGAATAGTGTTATGGAGAGAGACTCCATTTTTTCTCCTCACCCTCCAAATTTGGAGGGTCAAATTTGGAGGGTCAAATTTGGAGATCTCCAAATTTGGAGAGTGGTTGAAGAGGTTCCACTCTTCAAATTTGGAGATTTTGGAGATATAGAGGCCGGTTGGAGATGATCTAAGGCATATAATCAGCTTCCTTTTATATTAAGCAAGATCATATCTACCCTTTCTGTTTTCTTTATATTATCAGCATCGAATCATTTCTGTCCATAATAATAATACATCAACATTTGTTTCCTTTTTTGGGATGATTCTGATTTGCATCCGAGCGGATACAGGAACATGCTATTCACGAGATTACAAACGTTAATTATGATTAAGAAAGCGATTTCTTCACTTTCAAATCTCCACGGAGAAGTTTATGGTAGGGTCTTAGTAAAGCGTATAAAAAACTCGGGTTAAAAAAAAAAAAAGGTGACGCCTGCTTCAAACAGAGACCGTATTGCCCGCTGTATCTCTTGAAGCAGCAGGCTGTTGATGGATTTGGTGAAGTGGAGTGCTGCCCAGTTTGGTCCCCGGGGGCTTGCTCACAATACGTTGGGCTTGTCCCTGTTTCAATAATTTTGATGACCCATTGATTTGTGCTTTGCTAAAAGGAATGGAAGGTTCCATTGCATCCTTTTTTTTTTTACAGCCTGGTACCATGGGGTATGGTGTAATTACACGGGTGACCTTGAAGCCCCAGATGACGAGAACAGCTCAAGGTTTTTCTTGTAATTACAACATGTAACCTTAGGGTTCGATATCTTACATTCGGTATCTCGAGGTACGCATAATCACAAAGGATGACCCTAGAGTCTGCATGTATGTACGCATGTGATCCTAGAATTTTAAGTATGGGTAATAAGCGCACAACCGAACACCGTTAACATTTGACTAAAAGGTCTCAAAAGATGAAACAGCCGATCCCACCTCCCCATTCTCACAAAATCACTAGGCCTTCTTCCCTCACAAAAAAAAATGTG